ACTCGAGCTCGACTCATTTTTGTCTTGTTTAAGAAATAAGTCGAACTTGAACAATTTTTTAGATTTGTTTGAAAAATTACTTGACAAGTTCAACTCGTTTATATGCAAATACTCGAGTTCGGCTCGTTTTGAGCTCGTTCATGTTTGGCTCGTTTTCTAAACGAGTCAAACTTTAATAATTTTTTTAACTCAATTAAGAAAACAAGCTTTTTAAGCTCGATTTGAACTCGTTTGACTATCAACACTACTGGTAAGTTATCGGTAATGGGTAGGGTGGTGCAAATGTAGGTTTATATGTGAGTTTCAAATTTAATAATAATTTAATATTTAATTTTTGTCTTTATTTTTCTATTCAACCATGTTTAATTGTTGTTATAATAAATAAATCAAACATTTGTAATTTGCGTTGAGTGGAAGGAATTTTTTTGTGGATTCAAAACATTCTAATTGATTCTCATATTTAACAGGTGACATACGCGTAGTATCAAATAACTCGTCAAATAAATGAGTCGTATACAAGTGTAATAATTGGACTTATTTATATAAACAAATAAAATGAGTACAATATTTTTTAAAACAAATTTATTTCACCCGATACGAAACTATTTCATTCGGTACGATTATTAGACCTATCAAAACATTACTATCCATCCAGAGTATAGTGAAAAAAATGGCTTTTTGATTCGTTGTACTATGCTTAATAAAAATTAGCTTTTTGGCTCATTCGAGGATACTTAAAAAATGAGCTTTTTGGTTTGTTCGAGGATACTTTTTTTTTTTTCGAGGATACTAAGGAAGTAATCTTTTCATCGACAATGCTATGGAATCCAATGTTATCATTAATTTCAATGGTAAAAGTTGACTAGTTTAGTTATTATTCATCAATACTAGGGTCGAGGGATTATTTGGATTCTTTCTAATTGTAGAAAAAAATTGAAGTTCGAGTGAAAGTTTTCCAAAGAGGCCAGAAAAGGGAAAACCAAAATCAAAGTATAGAATTCTTTAAAGTGTGTTTGGTTTAGGCATTAGATAATATCAAACTGGACAAATCCGTTTATCAAATGCTCGTCCATTCAAATCTTGAACTAATTATAGTGATAATGCATCTTTATCATATGTTTGGTTTAAGTATTAAAAAGTAATGTGTCTCACATTTATTTATTTTAATATTTTGCTTTAATAAAATATTAAATGATGGTATAAATATTAAGAGTAATGTTATGTACACCAAAATTTCTACTAAATCACTTACAGCCGTTAGATCACTAATAAATCAATGAGTCTTATCACTGATCCAATGACTGCAATTAATTTGGTACAAGTTTTGGTGCACATAGAATTATTCAAATATTAAATTGGTAAAGAACCGTCAAGATAATTATATTTTAGAGATTTTTCAAGATAAAAATGTCTTTTTCTAAAATATATCTCAACCGGATTATTTAAACCCACCAAATAAATAGATTTATTTAAGAGGCTATTTGTCTGCTTCAAACACTATTCGTCTAGGTCAGAAGTAGTTTTAAATTAAAATACCGAGTCCAAAGTGTGTATCTAAATAAGGGAGTAAATGAGATAAGGTGGGGTTATACATTATTTTATCCAAGATTCTCTCTTAATGTCTAAACCAAACACACACAAGTCTGTAGGGTCAAAATTTTTTTAATAACATAACGATAAAATAATTTTTTATAATGTTTGTAGTAATTTTTAATCATTCCTAAAGATATTAGGATAAAAAATTATAAAGTTTAAAAACACAGTACTATTTTTTTTTTCCCAACAATACAGTCTTCTCCGCCTAATTGATTTGGCTATTGAAATCCACAAACGAAAAGACAATCAAAAAGTGCTTCTTTTTTTTACAAGTTGGGGCCATGTCCCATGGGATAAAACCAACATTCCCAAGGTGAGTTTTCAATTTTGGGTAAAAAAAAAAAGTATGTAAACTGTAAATAACTCGTAAATAGTGGGGGGGGGGGGGGGGGGGTGACGCGTCTCTTTTTTCAAGTCATATCGTTTGTATCTACAAATAGTGGCATACAGAATACTGTTATTTTCAAATTAAAGTTGCGGGGTTACTGCAAATTTGAAGTGGACTTGTCCATGTGAAAAATGGTACTACCCGGATGGATGCTCTCTTTTCCCGCATGCATTTCACCTCGTACCTGTAGTTACTGTCCATGCAGAAGAATGGGATTGCGTGGGTAGGGGCCAGGGGGGTGGGTGGAGAGGAGGGGACTAGATACCTAAGTTAGTAATTAGCATAGGGGTATTGTCCATGGAGAACGAAGAAGAAAATAGGGATAGAATTGGGATTGGACTACTTAGATGCATAGATTTCAATTCAATCCGAGAGTTGTAACTTTAACGCCCAATAATAGTGGCGCCGGTGTGTATTAAATTAACCGTTAATCTCGTCCAGACACAAGTCAAATATCAAGAATTTCGATACGATTATGCACTATGTTTTATTGAGCTTAATTGGTCCGTCTTAAATTGACTGCTAGGAAAAACAGCCATCAAATTGGCATTTAAGCAACGTGAAGATCACCGCTCGGAGTCCACCAAACTGATGAAGTTTAAGCAATTCAAAAACATTTGAAGAACCCGATAAGTTTTTTGTGGTCCAAACTATGGTAACTGATGTACGTATATCCAGAGAGGGTCATATTAAGAATATTTTAAGAAACAGGGTACTTTTGGTAATTAGGATGGACGGTTGACCCGACCGTCAAAGATCGATTTCAGATCTGTTCTGTCGGCACGTGCGGCCTTTCTAATTTTGTCGTTTTCTTCAACGTTTTGACCGATGAAATTAATTTTAAATTATCAAATTACAAAACAAATAATTATTTCATATAGTGAAAAGGAATTTTGAGCATTCAAATTTTATTTTGTATCATACGTTCAAGAACAAGTTATTATTGGTATATATATCTAAAGACATTATATAATGCCTCATATCTAAAGACATCGTATAATATCAAAAATTAATTATACCATCTAATAATTATATTTTAAATAAAAATTAATTTTTTTATTAAAGAGAAAATAAAATAGATATATGAGAGACAAAAGACATGTGTAGAGTAATGATTTTATTTGGTGAATTGATTGAATTGTTTGAATGAATTATATTCCATGGGATAAAAACAAAAAAAAAGTTAGATCAATTTAGAACATTATTGTATTTTTATAAAATAAAATTTTAATTTTGTAATTATTTATATAATAAAGTAACTTACAATCTAATTCGAATTTGATTAGTCGAATATGAGTCGATATTTTTTTATTAATAATATGAATCCGATAACTTATATTTCACGGATTCAAATTTGGACATACGTACGATTCTATTCAAATTATTTATAATTTTTATATAAATATTAACAAAATTAAGTAATTATTTAAAAAAATTTAATTAATTAAGTTATTCAGATTACTGACGAATTCGAATATAGACTATAAAAATAAAATTTATTGGATTATCGGATCAAACTTTTAAAATTTGATCCAAATGCAATGCCTAATCGGACATCATCGTTACTTTCTTAAATAAAAACAGAAAAAAAGGCATCAAAATTCAGTGTATCAAATATAGTAAAGTAACTCCGATTTGACCATGTGATTTTGTATTGCTGATTGAGGCTGCTAAACAAAGCATTTTGGTTGGTAACGTCAAGACTCAAGAGGTGAAGTAATGGGAAAACCCACAGTGGTCCAGTAAAAGCAGTGCAGTTCTCGTGTATTCTCTAGCTGGCTGCCTTGTCCTTATTTGGCTGCGAGTGTAAAAACAACCAGTAACAAAAATGAGATTGGTACAAAATTGCATTAGCCATCCGGTCTTGACAAAGGAATCAGGGGGGAAAAAAATCATTAATAAGTATTTTTATAGGTTATTTTATCAACAAAATTTATAATTTTATACTAGAACTTTTGTAGAATTTACAATTGATCCTACTATTTTTGTAGTATTTGCCATCGATACAACTTTTTCTTTTAGTACCGTAAACTTGTCCAAGCCATCAATGTGGCCAAAATTTTGACTCAAAATTGGAAGTTCCTCAACCCAACATAAAATTGGAGTACTTGATTAATTCTTGGTATCATTAAGATTTAAGGGAGTTGACTAGGTGTGGAAATTTTTTTTTTGATACCATTCCTCCATTTTTACCACATTTATGGTTACTTTTACTATATTTGTAAATATTTTTATCATTATTGTGGTACCCAAAAAAGGTAAAAATAGTTATCACAACAGTGGTAAAAAATATCAACAAATATAATAAAAATACTTATAATGAATCACTCACTAAAATGATAATATTTTTTGTTTTGAAGAAAAATAATTACCACAAATTTTGTAAAAACATCAACATCAGTGATAAAAAAAACTCACAAAAATAATAAATCAACTATAAAGTGATAACTTTTTTAATTATAAAATAACCCATAAAATTATAAAAATATCTATTAAAATAATAAATTTTAAATGAATGGCATCAAATTTTATTTTTTAACTTCAGTCCTTAAGATTAACAGGTAAGCAATTACATTGATAAACGCACGTACCCTTTTGGAGAGAGACAGTGAACCTCCTCCTCCTCCTCCTCCTGCAGACAAGTTTGTCTGCTCGTCGTAGTACTAATTACAACACACTGTTGCACAGCTGCACTTACAGCCGTTTCACTCCCCACAAATTAATATTCATCACTTTACAATAATTTCTTTATTGCCACCATTTCTCGATCTCCCAAACCCAAGATTTGAATCAGGAAGTCTCCCCATTCCTTCCCCTCTCGTTCTCTCCACTATTTATTCCCAGCTTACCCACTTCAAATCTCCCACTTTCAAGCCCCACCCTTCTAGTTGAAAACTCATCAACTTTACACCTGCTTCAAAAACACCAAACCCATTTGAAATTTTCCACTTTTTACCTTCTCCAATCCTCTATCCATCCTTTTCAGTTTATGATTTAGCTCCTAAACTGTCTGATAATGGCTCAAAAGCATTTACATGAACTATTGAAAGAAGACCAAGAACCGTTTCATCTAAAGAATTACATTGCAGAGAGGCGATGCCAGCTCAAAACACCCGGTCCCAAATCCACATTACAGGTTAAAAAACACAAACCCATTGTTGAAAGCTCAATCACAAAGCGTAGTCTCTACAAGCAAGCCTGTTTTTTCTCATTCCAAGACTCACCGGACGTTAGAAAATCACCTCCTTGTCTGAGCTTTCCGTCACCGGCGTCGAAAAGTCCATGTCGGAGTCCCAGTGGTACTGTGTTTCTTCACATACCAACCAGAACTGCTGCTCTGCTTCTTGAGGCTGCAATAAAGATCCAGAAACAGTCAAAAACCAAAACCCAAATTAAAAATCCACAATTTGGGTTATTCGGGTCGTTTCTGAAGAGGCCGAAAGATCGAAATCAGACCAAAAAGCGTGAAATCGCAAACACTGAGTTCAGGGTTTCAGTAAACGAACGAGAAAAATTCTCGAGAAAGAGAGAGAAAGTGCGAGAAAATGTGGTGGTTCTGCACGATGGAACAGGGTTTGAGATGGGTTTATCTTGTTCTTGTAATAACAGCAGGCTTAGTAGTGCTGGTTGGTCTGAAACCAATGAAGACAAGTCTCTGGATTTGGACACCTGTAGTAGTTGCAGGTCAGAGATATCCGACGAAAATGGTGGCTTCAGTTCTTGTGAAAAGCACTTCTGCTCAAGCCCTTTTCGATTTTCTCTTCAGAGAAACCCTTCTTCAGGTGTCCGGACGCCGGAATTCTCGACGCCGGCGACATCTCCGAGTCGCCACCAAAAAGAGGTTTGTTTATCTGTTTTTTTGTCGTTATTCAGCAACTATAAAAGAAACTTTGACTCGGCCTAGTTAGCGAGTTGAACCATGCTCAAATTAAATAAAAATTAAAAAAATAGAGAATAATATAAAACAAAAAATAAATTTATATTTTTTGTCTATTTTTTAATATTAAATATGAGATTTAATTAAACTCCAAGAACATGCATACTCCCAAAAGTTTTGGTGGAAATTTGCAAAATTATATTTATTGGGTTTTTTTTATTATTATGTTTGATGGGATAAAACAAAAAGTTTAATTTCTTGAACTAACTCAGTAATTCGAAACTGAGTCGACTCGTCGTTGCGTTTGACCTTTTTTAATTGTCGGCAATAAGATCTGGCTGTTCTGATTCAATGACCGGAATGTCGACCTTAAATGACAAAGATACCCATTAAATTTTGTCCTTACAACGATTAACCTATCTGTTTGTGTCCTTTACTGTCCTTTTGATCTCTCCTCTGCCACGAAATCTTTTATAAATAGCCCCCTTGTCTAGAAAATTATTTTCCGACAAAGGACAAATCGAGTTTTGTTTTATTAGTTGAACCCCATTAATAAAATGTATCCCCATTAGGCCCCAACCATAATTACTTCATTATTTTGAATTGGTTGGAACATGAGAATAAAAGTCAACAGCCATCTTTCCTGAATACCATAATTTTTCCTAGGTGGAATTTTTGGCAATTTATAAATTATGTAATTAGTTTCTAACCATATAGTTATAATAATAAATGATTTACCTATCATTATTTTGCAATTGTTAATAGGAAAAAGAGAGTTATGAAGTACATAGCTTGCAAAAATTACAAGAGGAAGAGAAGAGGAAGAGGAAGAGGAAGAGAAGGAGCAATGCAGTCCAGTATCTGTATTGGACCCTCCATTCGACAATGAGGATGATCGACACGAAGGTGGGGTCGAGGAAGACAATGAATATGATCTCAAATGCAGCTATGAAATTGTTCAGAGTACGTAACATATTTTTTTTTTCTTGTTACGTGCACATAAAAAACTTCAATTTGTTTCATTCCTTTCTGCTTGTATAGTCATGTTCAACATTGTTGGCATATGCATTTGTTTAAGCCTTTTATGGTTATTAAATAGATTTTGGAGGGTCGGGGTCATAATCAATTTTGATTATGCTGATGTTGATATATATGAATTATTTGAGGGGTTCATTAAAGGACTGTACATGTGGGTATACTCCTTGTACCAAGTTTATCATTTGTACATCAGTTTCTGTTCATGTGACCTCATTTTTGTATGAACAGGAAACATGGCTATCGTGGTCATAAATTCTTGTATGACCCACATTGGGTGGTGGGGGTTATCTCTAAATGATTCAATTGTCCCTTCAGTTTGATGAACGAAGCCAATCATCAAACTTATCTATAATTTCAAAGTTTTTTGGTATCATGTCAAACTTGTTTATTACATGGCTGTCATATGTTTGTTATAATTTTTGATCTTTTTTAGTCATAAAGTTTTGGGGACCATTGAATTTTAAGCCCACTGTCCTTCCAAATTTGGACAGTTAGATTATTGAACAAAGGGTTATATTCTTCCATGTCTGCTTAGTGTCACATTCTTTCTTAAATCAAGACCATCGTATCTTCAACTATAAATTTTTTAATTCGCTTTGAATACAAAACATTACTGTGCTTGCATTGTAGGGGTGCAACTTGGGCGAGTTAGACATGTTGGGAGGTTTCTATGGGACCTCCTATCCTTTTTATGTTCATATGCATTAGAGTAGCATTTGCTATCCAATTGATATGTTCCAAAACAAACTATTAATTATCGAAAAGTAGATTTGTTCTGATTTCATTTTGCCTTCTTTTTATTGCACAAACAGGAGCAAAGCAGCAGCTTTTGCAGAAACTGCGTAGATTTGAGAAACTGGCCGAGTTGGATCCTATTGAACTTGAGAAAAGAATGTTAGAAGAGCAAGACGATGATGATGAAGACCTAGAGGAAGAAGAGGAATGTGAAGATGGCGAGTCGCCTTCACTATGTAGAGAAGACAATGTTGATGAGTTTGTTAGAGAAGCATGTAGCAGATCAAACGCCCATCACCAAATGAAAACCCCAACAGCCATGAAGAGGCTGGTGGCCGATCTCATTGATGAGGAAAGGAGCCAACTGAATGGCCTTGATAATAATGAAGTGTTGGCCACAAGGGTTTCCCAAAAGTTGAATGCGTGGAAAGAAGTAGATTCTAACACCATTGATATGATGGTTGATTTGGATTTTAGAAGAGAGCTTGATGGGTGGAAGAGGTTTCAGGAACAAGTGGGAGAGACAGCGGTGGAAATTGAGATTGCTATTTTTGGGCTATTGGTGGAGGAATTGTCAGAGGAACTAGTTTGTTTAGGTGGATTATAGCTGCAATCACCACAGAGTTTCCCTCTAGCTCTAATAATTTTTTTTTCTTCATATTTTAACTGTGGATTCATAGTCTGACTTGCACTGTGAAGGGATAGGCTACTTAGTAAGCTTAGCCAAGAAATATCTTGGCAGAGGATAGTATAACAGTATGTATATGTATCATTATCTATGGTGGTGGGTGTATTTGTACTTGTTTAATGGGACACAAGAATACAAGCCTCTATTTTTCCTGCTGGGAAAGATCAGAAAGTATGCTGGACTTCAGAAACTGTGCGCGTGTGTGAGCGCTTATTTTTACTATTGGTAAATTCATTAGGTCCCAAACACATTAAGAGGATTCAGTGAATTCAGAGTTGGATTATTGAACTTGATCAAAATAGGCCATTGGAACTCGAGAGGATTTGTATTCTCCTGTCAATGTGATCATAGCTTTAGTACCCTTGCCGTTTGGATCAAGGTACAAAAACACAGCATTTAAGCAACACAAATGGAAAAAATCAACTACGACTTTGGTGTGCATTTTTTGTGGAGTTAGCATTCAAATTAGTAAAGAGATTTGTGCACTTGACAGAAAATAAAGTTGTCTACCACAAACAACAATGTAGATTCTTAAATGAAAGTTTCAGCAAGGGATATGATTCGAAGCCTTTTCCTAAAACTACTTCCACTTTTTTCTCTATGACGATTGGCATCTCTTGCTTTTCTTTTTTGTGTGAATCTCTCTCTCTCTCTCTCTCTCTCTCTCCAACTGCTTTCTGACTGCCAACAACCAACCTAAAATGCCCTGCAATTTCTCATTTATTGGTAACTGAAGTTGCTTCTCTTTGGTAGTTACATTATGATGGACATCATCCAAGCCAAAATGCAGCCATCTATTAAAAAGTGGTTTAACTGTTTGAAAAGTTGCAAGTGATTGGACCACCTATCTAACTTCCATTATTGCTCAAATGCAAGCTTCGAGGTGAACAATTTGATCCTTTTGTGACATGGTCATATGGCAAGAATTTGGTTTGAGTACAACATGGTATCACATGCAGGGTTGAAAGTTGGGTTGACCAATCCGAACTCAAACTCAGTCCATCCCAAAAATATTTCGTTAGCATGCACAAATTTCCTTGGGTTTGGGTGAAAAAAATGTCTCAAAAGAATTTAAATTCGAATAGTACTTGGGTCAGGTTATAGAATTTTTTAGACTTAATAGGAATGTGTCACGGATTCGTCAATTGGGTTCATTCTAATTATTTTACTTAAATCCATTTTGAATTCACTAGTTTAGGTTCAATTCGAGAATTGAATGTCAACTAAATCCGAATTACAATTTGAATTGTGTAATCCACATTTAAAAAACTAAGTACAAATACCACTCAATTTACCAAGTTAAGGGTTTTATAATGTGAAAATTGGGGGTGAGTCCCCCCAGATGGACTTGTTTGGAGATAAGTCCGGTAAGAAAACTTATTTGGTTATAAGTCCATTCTTTGACAAGTTTACTATTGTACCCTTGTTTTTTAGAAAAACATAAACAATATCCAATTTGCCATCTCTTTCTCGGACGGTAAAACCCTCTAACTCTTTCACTGTAAACCAAAACTTTCCCTTCTTCCAAGCCTTGAAATCTGACAATATTCATCAAATCTTCCATAAATTCCTTCCCTGAAAACCAGTAACTGTCATTACCCAAACCAATCCTATTCAAATTTCAAAAAAGTTACATACCATAAGAGCAAAATCTGAATATACTCTTCAAAGTTTAATATGGACTCCATTGAAGAAGTTATTGTTTCTGTCTCTGCATTCAAATCATCATCAACAATCTTTGGGATTCATAAAAAGATTGAAAGGTATGTGATTTTAGATGAATGTTAATGTATATTTTTGGGTATTAGGAAACTCATTGCCTGATGTGTCGTTCTTTTGGTCATCTGGGTTTTTTTTTTTAATTTTTTTATTTTTTGCATTAATAACATTAAAATTAAGATGGATTATTACTATAATAAAAGTGTTATGTATTTTGTTTTTGTCATTCTTTTTGATGTGTTTGACAGTTGAAATTCGTTGGCTGTGTTTTTGTGAAATATATGAGATTACTATGTGAGGAGTTGAATAAATTTATCTCATAATTTAAATATTTTGATGTTATTGATCGGTGTTGAGTGTCCTAATTCAAGCATTGATAGTGTGCTACAATTGAGAATTTTTAAATTTTAAATTTTAGAATTGTATGTTTATTATAACCATTTGAAATTTGACATTATTGTGAGTATAATATAACCTTTGGGATGAAAGTATTCATGTTAGTGTTACTAATTTAATGTGCTATGTATTTACATTTGAACATTTTTTTGTTGTTTTATGTGTTGTTCAAGACATTCAAAAATCATTGTTTCAAAGTAACATGAAATATATCATGTTACTTTGTCTTAACATGAAAAATTGATTTTTTAATTTCAATGGATTGATGTGCTTAAGTACTGTGGATGTTACTATGAAAATGATGTTACTACACATGTGTTACTGATCACAACCTTTGATTTTTACTTTTAATACACAATCTGTTGGTTACAAAAAGAAAATATTACAAGTTTCCTCAAAAAAATGTTCAAGTTACTTTTGAACACTGTTATTTACATTCCAAAAATTGTAACTTGGGGACTCAATGGATTTCCAATGGAAACAATTGTATAATGAAAAATGTAGTTACTGAATTAAAAGTCTATTATATAATTACATGTGTAAATTTTTTGTTGCTTTCTTCATTGTTCAAGAAATTTGAAAATCATTGGTTCAAGAGTACATTGAACCTTTTTATGTTACTGTGTGATAACTGAAAAATTGAATTCATATTTCCAATGTATGCTTGTGCTTTGGGTACTGTGGATGATACTGACAAATTGATGTTACTGTAGACATGTTACTGATCAACTCCCTTTTTGGTTTTTACTTTTAATGCACCATATGTTGTTTATGAAGAGTTCAGGGGTTGTTGTTTGATTTTAAATGTAAAAAAAGGAACACAATGAATTTGCAATGGAATTGTGTATTCAAAAATGATGTTATTGAATTGTGTGTGTTTTGATGTTACTAACCTGATGTTACTATATTTACATCATGTAATTTGGTGGAATTGTTAATATCATTTTTGCACAAAATTTTTCACAATTGGTTTATATCCATTATGTTTGGTATCATGTTACTATATTATGTATGTTATTATTGTGTATGTTACCATATGTTGTGTGTTACTATTTTGTATCATTATACTATATGTTTGTGTAGGATATTGATATTATAACTATATAATATATTCATATTGATATTACAACGTTGTGCTACAGGTTGATGACAATTACAGGAAATAGAAAAGAAATTTAAACCAGCACAACTTAACGCTCTACGAATACATGTGGTGACTACATTCATAAACCATAGGAGTGCATGGACTGTTGAAAACTACGAGACAAGATCAAGATTGAAAAAAAGATACCAAAAAAATAAAAATTGATGATGTTGTAAAGCTATTCATTCTTTAGCTACTTGTAAGCTCGATTAGAAGTTGGTTGTAATTGTTTATTGATTGGTACTTAGTTTAAATGGAGTATTAAAACATGTAGAATTGTGGTTTGGATGTTACACCTTGATATTAAATTGATATGTTGATGTAAGTTTGAGAATTTGTTTGTAACGGAATGTTTGGAAAACAAAGGAAATTCTGTCCAATTTGTAAGTGCAATAGTAACTCAAACAGTAACATGTTAAAAAATGTTCCGACTAACATAACCATTCAATTTTAGAATGCTAAAATTGTGTTGTATGTGGAATTGATATGTTAAAATCTATTGTAATTATTCATTATCAAGTGAATTTGTAATATTATTGCACGATTGGTTACTGTATGTAATGATCATTAAATAGTAACTTTGGTAGTAACATCATTAGTAATACAGAGTCTCGCGACTGCTTCTATCACCTTCAAACCCCCTGCCAAACACAAAAACTTGTTATTCAAAAGTATAACATACTAAAATTGATTAAGAATTTGAATTGATAAAGAAAACTTGTGATCTGAATTAATTCGTCAATTAGGTTTCTATATATAGCTAACAAAGTATATACATTCCATATATTCTTTATTTAATTATTAGGATTTTTAATGAAAAATGATTTTCATATATAACTCAAACTAAGGTTTCTATATATATTTTAAAGATTTAACTTATTGGACTTTCTATAATTGAACAAAACTAACACCGTTAGGGATAATATTGAGATTTAAAAAAAAAATGGACTTAAGTACCTACATATAAGTTTTAACACGGACTTAGATTCCAATAAATTTCCTTGCCGGACTTATCTCCAAACAAGTCCACATAGGGGGACCGGCCTCCAAATTTCCTTTTTATAATTGATCAATGCTTGAGTTGAACCATTAACTGTCACCGTGCTGGAAAAAATGATTTTAAACAAATTTATTTTGAGCAACTTAAGACTTAAATAAAAGTGAGATTTATATCTTGAAATTGGTGGGATCGAGTTTAAATGCGTTCTCTTCTACAAGGAGATGAATGTCGTATATTTATTTGTTTAAAATCATTAAGTATTGTGAGGGCTATCAGTTAAACCAATCAGATCTGAATGCAGTTCATAATTAAATTCCAATCGAAATTTAAAATTTAATTTTTTTTTAAATTTTCTATTCATTAGTTTGAATCGAGCGCCAAAATTAAGTCTTTCATTATTCAGTCATCAAGAGTCTATAAATAGACAACTTTCAAACAATTTTGGGTAAACCACATAAATGGCTCCTAAACTTTTCTATTTTTTTAAATTGCACTATGAACTTTAAATTTTTTGATTTTACCCCTTGAACTATTTAAATCATTTTAATCAACACCTTATGTTAGATTTCACCATTAAATAAGGATAAAACCCAAACGACAAATGCAGATGACATATATTGAAGGTCATTTTTTGCATTTTCACCTATTGTGTAAGGGTTTTAGGCGCCAAAATTCCCTCCCATTCAAAGTTCATGGTACAATTTAAAAAAAAAATAAAAAAGTTCAGGGGTCATTTATGTGGTTTACCCAACAATTTTTATTCATTTCAAAAATCATGAAGTCTGCATTCAGATTTTTCTTCTCTATCTCTTTCTTCATGCATTACATTTCTGTAAGACACAAGTATAAAACATAGAGTTGTGTTCATTGGAGTTCTGAATATTGAAGTTTTACTTCTTCAAAAAC